TCCTGATTTACTTTTCCTTTTGTTGTCACTATTTTCAACCACATTCATTTCATGAACCACAGACTTTGGGTTTTCTTTTAGGTTAATTTGATTTCCTTCAGTTTTCTTTCCTGAGTCATAGATATGTCTTGTCTTATGATTCTAATGTACCCCAGTCATCCTGTCATAATTCCAAAGTGACTGCTGTTCTAGTGTGATCCCTAGCAAATGAATGTTGGAGAGTGACTGAACTGAATGAGACATCATGACTAATTTCCATTTTATCAATAATATGGACAAACTTGTGCTTTGTGGGTAAAATTGAAAAATTATCAGGACAATGATTTCTGGTTTATTTCTCCCTGCCTTCCTCCACCTCTCAACACGCCCAACCCACCACCAAAAATAGTCTGGAACCATTTAATGCCCTTACTCCTGCTGAGAGCAACCAGCTGTTTAAGATGCGTTTTTGATTTAGTTCTATTCTGATCATTGTATTTAATGATTATTCTTTCAAAGAACAGTGACTCTGTGGCCATACTAATCTCCATTGGTGGCTCTATACACACGGATGCTGAGATAACTGATTCTGCAATCACTATCTTAACTACCATTCCTTCACTTCATAATTTTGTAAGCTGCACCATGCACTTGTACTTGTGTGCCATGATGTTTGCCCCAGTTTGTCACTCAATAGAAAACAGACTCACAAAGAGAAATAGAGAAAGGTTTCAGTGCTAGCGGGCAAGGGTAGGAAAATTTTCGAATATCTTCGTCAGAAAGTCGTCATGGACATGATATGCCAAATGTGACGACCTCTGTGCTGTATGTTTCAATGCTGATTGTGGCTATCAAGCCTACTGAGAAAGCAACAGCAATTTACACAAATGTGAGCTTTCACCTTAATAACAGATTGCTAATGCTAAGGTACAGCATTTAAAAGTTCATGAATTAATAAATGACTGTCAAGAATTGAAATACTTGTCTATTTTTAAAAATGTGGATTGTGGGAGGTTTCACAAAAAATAATAATTGTTAATGATTTTGAAGCTGAAGAACTAATTTGAGAATGTGTTGCCTTCTATACCTCTTTTTATAAAACCAAACTGCCCAATTATGTTTTCTGGTTAATAAAAAGTCCCAATTACCTATACGTAGAAGCATGATTAGCTGATTTATTTGAAAGAAGAGTGTAAGGAATTCTGACTTTATATAGAGTAGAAATGTCCATTTTGCTGAATTACACCAGTTCATTGTTCTTTAATGATGTCATCATTAGTCACTGTTTAGAAAGGGAATTGTACTCTTGGGGAAGATGCAGTACTCTGTGTAGTTTTTCTTCTGTCAAAAATCCTTCATTGATTCAAAAGAGAAAATGTGGTTCAAAATGTTGTCTATTTGGAAGAAGACACTGCTGTTTGTGCTTGACAAAAAAACAGAGAGCTAGCATCTTGGCTTTTTCCCATCACCACCCCACTGCTGGGTACTTTATGGATCTGAAAGAAAAAAACAACCAAATTTTGGCTGGTTGCAGCTACCAAGAAGCATTATTCCAAAGTGGTGCTATTGATGCTACCAAAACAGCACAAATTTCTTTTTTTTTCAAAAGTGCAGAGTTGGACTGAGGGTCATGGTTGATATTCAAGTAGCACGATTACATAGTGGAAATGCTGCTGAGCACATTGGCAACTAGCCCAAGACTAATCCACTGACTACATTATTTACATGGGTCTTTTCCTGTTGTGAGCAAAATAAACATATTCTTTACATTTAAATGCCTTTTCTTTTAAACATATCACTGAGGAAGACAGTACTTTTAGATTAATCATCATTTTATGAAAGAAATATCTCCTTTGGTAGATAGGTGGAGTTTGGAGAAGTCATCATGGGACAGGGATACTTCAGAAGTTGGAAATAATAAAATATGGTTCAAAGTTTATCTCATTTTTAAGGCATCCTAAAGATGACATCACTAAACTGGGTGGTCATAAGTGTTTATGTGTAGGTTTAAAAAAAAGCATTTGTTAATTCACATGCTGTTCAGTTATCCATGAGAGGCTTAGTTTCCAGCAAATAGTAATGCAAAGGTTGATCTTGGCTATACTGAAGCTGGTGAGACTGAAAGAGGAGAGATGATGTGCCAGAATGACGTCTGTTTTGCAGTACTTCAATGGGTTCTGTAGTGGCTCTGGATATCCCCACATAGCTTGTATTCTGGGACTTGAAACATTTCTGAAAATTAACTAGGTATTTAAAGGGTTTTCCTGTACTCCATATCTACATCGCAACAGTGATTGTCAATGGCATTATTGAAACGAGTGTTTTCTTAATAATGTTATTTTAAAAAATTAATCTAAAACTTTACCCTACTTTATGTAAAACTGTCTTTTTATGTAATATTAGTAAACAAAAGAAAATAAACCCTGTAGGAGTGGAAAAAATTCTATTGATGCTTTCTAATTCCTCTAAAAACAGAGTTGAAAATTAGCAAACTTTTGAGATTCAATAGTGGTGGGAGGAATAGAAATGAAAACCTAATCCAGATGGACTGCACTCAATTTCCAAGCTATTTCGTATTTCCCATCTATTTTGGCTCATACTTTGTTCCATCCTACGTCATCTTGGAAACTGCTTATATCTAGGATAGTTCTAATTCCACTAATATGGAATGAGGTTTGGGATTTTTTTCCTGGTATTTTGGGATTATATTTTGAGATGCAGTCACTCTTTCTTTGAAAATTGTAAATAAACATGAATCTTTGTTCATTTATATATTGCATGCCTGCAGTACAAATTTGTACAAGTTTAAATAAACATTTATTGCCTTTGTCAAATATATTGTTTCAGATTTTTATGTACTTTGTGTGCTATTTTTCCTAATAAAATCATGTGATTGAAAAAATCAGATACAAACATATCTCTTAAGCCTTACTAGAGCTTAAACCTAGTTTATGAAACATGGGTCTTGTATAACATTTTACTCACTTGTAACACTCACTGTCTCTTGTGCTACTTGGAACAATTTTGTGTTAAATATTCCTTGAAAGTTTAGATGTCCGTTTTTATTAATGCATTGAGCTATATTTCTTCTCATTATTTGCTTTTATTCAGGAGGACAAAAGATACTTGCTAAAAGACACTGTTCAATGGAACACTTTTATCCAATTTCAACAGTTGTGGCAAGTGAGACCAAGAGAAGAATGAAATAATTTCTCCACTCTTCATTTTTTCTATGATGCTTTCAGTACAAATTACACAATAACATGCAGCTCCACTCTGAACTGTAATACTGAAAAAGCATAATTCATGCATAAGTGTAGATTACAAGAATTAGTCTGTTATTCACACGTGGCTAAGAAGGGGGAATACTGCTGATTGATCCTGACCTAAATCAGCTTCCCAAGAAATGCATTTCTAGTCCCGGTTTCTACAAGGAGTTCAGAAGCAGAAATTCTACATGATGTTCCCTTCCCTAATGCAGTTGAATGTTTAACCAGAAAATGCAATTTAGGATCATTGCAAGTTAGGAACAGGTTTAGGTCATTGAGCCTAATTAGATCACGGTTAATCGTTTCCCTTTGTCATTTTTCCCCTCACCATCGCCATATGCTTTGATGTCATTAGTTTTCAGAAATTTATTAATTTGTCTTGTACATACTCAGTGAGGCAGCTTCTACAGGATAGAGAATTCCAAAGATTCAGCACCCTTTGTGTGAAGAAATTCCTCTTCAGCCTTAAATGACTTCCTAATCCTGAGATTAGGATCTCCTGGTTTTAGAATCACGAGCCACTGGTCACCTCATTCTTCAAAATTCTTGGGGATATAGACCTAAGCTCTTCATAAATCATTCCTGCCATTCCCAAGGATTAATCTGGTGAAACTGCACTGTACTCCGTCTATGACAAGTATAATCCCTCATTGGATAAGGAGACAAAAACTGTACACAACACTCCAGGTGAAGGTTTTGTACAAATTCAGCAAGACATTTTGACTTCTGTACTCAAGTCCCTTGTGATGAAGACCAATATGCTATTTAGCTTCCTACTTTCTTGCTGCACCTGCATACTAACTTTAGTGATTTATGGAATATTCTGCCTTCTTTCTTTTCTACCACACTTCACATTTATTGTAATTGTTTTCTATCTGCCATCTTCTAGTCCATTCACGTAGTCTGCCTAAGACATCTTGAAACCTTCTTGTATTCTCCTCACAACTTCCATTCCCCCCAGTTTGGTGCCATCAGCAAATTTGGATTAATTCCAATTAGTTCACATATGAATCATTTATATAGATTATGAACTGCTTTTGACCTGGCACGAAGCCTTATAACACCCAGCTTGTGACAGCCTACCAGCCTTAGAATGATCCATTTTTTCCTACACTCTGCTTAATGTCTTAACCAATTCTCAATCCATGAAAGTACACTTCCCCCAATCTTATTGGCAAAAAGAAGAAGAGGATAGATATGTTTTTTTTTACTGTAACAAATTATTAACTTGAATTCACTGCCAGACCAGATAGTGGAGATGAATTCAGAATTAATTTCATTAAGAAATTAGATATATAATTAAGAAAGAAAAAACATAAAGATTTATGGAGAGAGGATAACTGAGTTGACACAGAATAGGTTGACAGGCCTCTTTCTGCGCCAAATGATATTGAGTCTTAATACACACTGCCTTCAAAATTTGTATTTCTATAACTTCAGTTCAATCAATTAGCATTGACTTGGAATGAAACCTTAGACCTGCTTTATTACACCTTTTTAACTAAAGATGGAGAGTATCTCAGAGGGGTTTTAAGAGCTCTGACTTTACTAACAAGTTGCAATTGTTGTAAAATTTCAAATTAAGTAGAACCTGTTTTCATTACAATTTACAATAATTCATTTTAATTAAAATGCCAGGTGCTATTTAATCTGTTAATCTGAGTTCATAAGTGTTTCAGTTGCTTTCATACCTGCACATTTTGCAAGGGTTGCAACCTGATTATTTGATAATGGCTGTTCTTTTTACTGCAGAAAAACGCAGCATGGCTCATTAGACCAGAGTTCGCCACCTCAAAGCAGCATATCTGCCTCATACAATCATCCAATGCTAGGGATGTACGATCCCAAAGATGACTTCCCGCTCAGAAAAACAGGTAACATTTCATTGATGTGAAGATTTTCATAAAACTAAGTCTGGTTTATTGATGTGAAAACAGAACTTTTTTACGTTGGATTATTTTGGTTGTAACTAGAATCAAATGGCTAATTTTTAATAGTGCCACCTGAAATAATTGCACAGAGGCCAGCATCCCATCAACAAGTCACCCTTATTTACACATGCACAGTACATGGACTCTGACCAAATAGCCCAGAGCCAGTCTCTAGAGTGAGGAGACTCTCTGAATCTCCTTTTTGTATCTGTCAGCCAGGGCTCCCTGTTTGGCCTGGGTTGACAGCCCCAATCAGGGATCTTGTAGTCAGAGATCCACCTGGCCCTTATTCTAATCACTACACCTCCCCCACACCCCAAGTCCTGGGACGTAGACCTGTTCTTTTTCTTGTAGTTTCTCCTGGGATGTTTTTGTCCTAAGTCCAGTTCTTCCAACTCTGACTCGGATGTTGGCAGCATGTATCGGACCAAAGCCAGCCTCTTGCACCCAGAGCATCTCGGAAGAGATTCCTACTTTTCTTCAGACAGTAATCGTATCAAGATTGCATATATCTCGGACACTCTGGTTTCTTCGATGCTAGGCACGGGGCAGAGCTCACAGTTTTTGACAGCTTTACTGGCCATTCTGAGCGGCCGCATATGTTTTGCTCCTGCCCCGTTGCAAAGTAGCAGCTTTCAGATGATCCGCATGTTTGTTCAGGACCGCCTCACCATCTGAACTTTGTGTGTCACAGGACCTGACCTCGTATCGACGTCGCCTCGTACCCATACAAGGCCATTTCTGTGGTTCCGGAACTGAACTTTGTCCTCTGAAGTAACTTGTCTCTCTCGCATGGAGGAAGCACGTGGTCAGCATTGGTGTTCCTGCTGCCATTTCACCTCCACTCCCAGGTCTGGGAATATCAAGTTTAACCTGGTGTGGAGTCGTCTTCCCATCAGCAACTCTGGTGGAGCTATCCCTATAGTTATGAGGAGTGATCCTATAATCAAACAGGAACCAGGACAGTTTGGTATTGAGTGAAGCTGTAGGCTGTTTCGTTAAGCGTATCTTCAACATTTCGACCGTTCCTTCTGCCAGACAAATGAACAATGGATGGCATGGAGCTGTCTAAACATACCAAATAAAACTGATAGCATCTCTGAATTACAGGAGGCTTGGGGTCATAACATTCCTTGACTAAATTCGTCAACTCTTGAAAGGTTTTAGTATCTGGTGCCTTAGGGAAAGTTAGGCTCTTAATAATCGAAAATGCTGCAGGTTTGTAAGCAGTCAGAAGGAGTATTTGTTGCTTTTCATCTGCCACAATATCATTTGCTCATAAAAAATAATGCATTCTTTCCACATGAACAAAAACAGAAGTTGCTGGAAAAGCTCAGTAGGTTTGGCAGCATCTGTGAAGAAAAAAATCAGACTTAACATGTCGGGCCCGGTGACCCTTCCTCAGAACTCTTTTTGAGGAAGGGTCACCAGACCCAAAATGTTAACTCTGATTTTTTCTTCACAGATGCTGCCAGACCTGCTGAGCTTTTCCAGCAACTTCTGTTTTTGTTCCTGATTTACAGTATCTGCAGTTCTTTCAGATTTCATTCTTTCCACATACTGGACCTAGAATTCAGCAGGATCGAATGAGTCAAGCTTCCCAAATAAAGGCATGATGCCAGAAATGCTGACCCCAACTCAAAGATGACTGTTACAAGCAAATTTTCTTCAGGAGTATACTGTATTCTCTGACTACCACTGAAATAACTACACAGAGGCCAGTATCCAATCACCAAGTCGCCCTTTATTTACACATGCGCAGTCAATAGACTCTGACCAGCTAGCCCAGAGCCAGTCACTAGAGTGGGGAAACTCTCTGAATCTCCTGTTTATACCTGTCACCATCTCTAAAACAGAAAGAACTTGATTCAAATCCTTTTCCAGAACACTTCATTAAAATGCTGAGAGGAAATTACATTTTCAGAGGTGCAGTGGGTTAGATGAGATGAAACTGAGGCCATCTGCCTATTGCTTATTTTTGATTTTTTTTATGGCTTATGTTGGTTCAGCTTGACTCTTTAGAATAAGAAAGAAGGACCTCTTGTTTCCTTTGTTTCATTAATGACTGTGCCACCACCATGAGATCAGAAGTAGGATGATCACTAATGATTGCAGTATTCAGTTCCATGCAAAATTCTACAATTTGAAGCATGTCTTTAATGTAGTGCATTTCCTTCACTCCATACAGTAAGTACAATGCACGATCATATATATTTTGCAATAAGACGTATTTGTATTTTGGAATTGTTAGGTACAGTGGCATAGTAATTATGTACTCATTCTTAACTATACCCAAAAATGATATGGCAAACTATTCAATTATATTATCTCCTCAGTGTGCCTAGGCAATTGCATGTGAGATGCATATTCTGGTAATGAATTTCACCAATATTGTAAAACAGTTTTTTATTTGTTCATGGGATTTGTGTATCAAAGGCTAGCATTTATTCCAATTCCTAATTACCCTTGAAAAGGTATTGGTGAGCTGACTATTTGAACCACAGCAGTCTATGCTGGGTAACTTGACCCAGAGTGCTGGTAGGAAGGAAATTCCAAGATTTTTCACTGTGACCATGAAGAAATGGCAAAATTGTTCCAAGTCAGGATGGTTTGTGACTTGGAGAGGAATTTGTAAGTGGTGGTGCTCCCACAGGTCTGCTGCTTTTGGTCTTCAAGGTCAGTTCTTCCCCAACGTATTGCATTATGACCATGTTGTGAATTTTTAAAATTGTTGTGACCCCTCAGTGAAAACTGAGAGGTGCTGATGAGCTGTAGCATGTTGATTGTGGGAGATTTAGCTGTGGTAATACCATTGAATGTCAAGGGGAGATGGTTAGATCCCCTTTGTTGAAGATGGCCATAGCCTAACAGTTATGTGGCACAAACTTTACTTCCCCAAGCCTGGACTTTTTTCAGCACCTACAGTATAAGGAACCAAACTACTTCTGTATCTGAGGAGTTATGAATGGCGCTTGGTATTATGCAATCATCAGTGAATGTCTGTACTTCTGTCAGTTTTTTTTACATTTGTTCATGCATTGTGGCCATCATTAGCTAGGGTAGCACCTATTGCCCATCTCTACGTATTCAGAGGGCAGTTCAGAGGGCGTCAATCACATTGTTATGGGACTGGATAGACTATGCGTAAAGGACATGGGAACCAGATGAGTTTTAACCAGATGAGTGATTACATTATTGCCATCAAATTTCTGTACCCGCCACGGTAGGATTCAAACCCATGTTTCCAGGATACCAGCCTGGGATTCTGGATTACTAGCCCAGTGATATTATTCCTATGCCACTGCCATCACCATGATGGAAGGAAGGTAATTGATGAGGCAGGTGAAGATTTCAGTCTTGAGGAACTCCTGCAGAGATGTCCTTGGACTTAATGAATGACCACAACCAACCATGAATCTATTCCTTTATGCTAGGTACAACTCCAACCAGTGGAGCGTTTTCCCCCGATTCCCATCAACTTCAGTTTTGCTAGGGTTCCTTGATGCCATAATTTGTCAAATGTTGCCTAAATGTTGAGACCAGGGGATTGGAAGACTTGCCAATGTTTATTTAAAAAGGGAAGGAGACAAAAAAAACTAAAGACCAGTTAACTTAACATTTGTTATTGGAAAAATATTAGAGCCTGTTATAAAGGATGTAATAACAAAACATTTAGAAATACAAAATATGTTCAAACAATCAATAAGCAGCATGGTTTCATGACGGGGAAATCGTGCAAAATGAATTTACGTGTGGGAGAGTCTGAGATTAGAGAGCATAATCTCAGAATAAGGGTTGCACATTTAAGAAAGAGATGAATAGGAATTACTGCTCTTAGAGAGTAGGGAATTTGTGGAATTCGTTACTGAAGAGGACTGTTGAAACTGGCTCATTATGTGACCTCAAGGCTGAAATAGTCAGATCTTTCATCAGTGAGGGATTCAAGAGTTAAGTAGAAAAGATGGTAAAGTATAATTGAAGATTAGCAGTTAAAAGCTGAAAGACCCGCAGATGCTGTAAATCAGGAATAAAAACAGAAGTTGCTGGAAAAGCTCAGCAGGTCTGGCAACATCTATGAAGACAAAAATCAGAGTTAACATTTCAGATCTGGTGACCCTTCCTCAGAACGGATGGTAGCTGGGAAAATGTTGGTTTATATGCAGAAAATAGGGAGGGGGATGGGTAGGGAGTAAACAATAGGGATAGAGCCTGATGAGAGAGAAGAGCAGTTGGATAGAAAAAGAGTTGATAACGATGTGGCTAGGAGGGTGAATAGCTGTGAATGTACTCAGCCAATACAAGAGCTCAAATCTTCGGTACTGTTGTCAGAGCCCATACTTGTTGCAATATTCACTGCTTTCAGCTGTTTCTTGATTTCACATGGAGTGTATCAAATTGGCTGAAGACTAGCATCTGTGATGCTGGGGACCTCAGGAGGAGGCCTGATGTGCCATTTCAAATCAAGTATGATGACCGGTTAATACTAAAGTATTGGCATTACAGCCATCATGCACTCCAGAGAGTTCTTTTAATAACTATTTTGAGGGGTAAAAGGGGGTCTGATCTTGATTATTTTTCAGGATTATAGTGCTGTTTTGGAATTTCACATTGGTGCAGCATTGAGCTATCAAATTAGCACAAGTCCTTTATCCTTTTTTGCAACAATTTCAAAACCATGAATGTGATTTTAAAATTAGGGTAATTTATTTTCAATATCTCTGAGATTTGAGAAGATGGGAGCACTTTTCGTTTGTTTGACTCACAATATAAATTAATCATCATCTCAGTTACAGCACCGGCATCAACAAGGCAGTGTGGAATATTGCCCAGATATTCCGCTCACCACAAAATGTAAGACACATCCAATATGAGCAATTATCATTTTTAACAATTGACTCTCAATATCAGCAAAGTTATGGAATGTGTTGCAAATGTGCTTTCAA